TCACGCGGTGACTCGGCCGGGCGAGGGCGAACGCAAAGGCGACAATTGTAACGACTCGAAATTAGCGCAATCGAGCGGGCGGTGTGATTTCGAATTCTCGCTACAGGCGAGACTCGCGGCTCTATCTCACACGGCGCTTACGGCCGCCAGGCAGAAGGACTCGATACTCTCACACGGCCCTCTCGTCTCGCGGAACTGGCGACTTTACAAATTAGCGACGTTCGTCTCACCGAATGCTCTCCTGCTCCTCACTCCTCTCGCCTCTCGAAACACAACTTTGGTCCTCTCGACCCTAGGCTCGGCGGTGGATCCTGCGTCCCTTACAACAAGTCGTCAGGTCGCTCTGACAGTCACGGCACGAGTGTCGGTCTTTCGCAGCGCCGGGAGCACGTTGGTAGCGGGGCCATCTGCCGGTTTCCGCTATCTCTTCCTATCACGTGAGTCCCTCTTTTGCGACCCCCTGCGCCGCAGGCGGGTAGCGTCAGTCGCGGGCCCCGTGATAACGGGCGCGAAGTTTCAAAGTCGACTTGCTGGGAGGGTTTATGGCCCTCGATACGTGGAGCGAGCCCTAGTGTAAGCTCTCCTGCGCCCTCGTACTATCGGGGCCTCCTGGCAGGGCCGTCGGCTCGCTCCGAAAACTCTGTAAAAGAGAACAGTAGTAAGAGGGCTCCGTGATGGAAGGAAAAAAGAAAGCGTAATTACGTGACCTGTGCTCCCGTCTTGCTGAGTGCATGTCGTGGCAGTCTCTCGTCCTCGGAGTCCTCGTTACTCGGAGCCGGTGAGACGACGCCTCAATACAGTCTTTTTTTTTAACAGTCGCCATCCCTTGCTCATTTCGGTCGGTGCATGGCCTACTGCTTAATTCTAGTATAAAATTTTAAGTCGCGAAACGTGGCAAAATCGTAGATGCGCTCGCCCTCGAAAATCGGAGGACGCAGGATCCACTCAGCCGTTACGGTCAGGCTAATGAGTTCTTGTGACGGACGTTGTCGCAAAACGTCACGTCACAATATACAACGAAATATAGTTTTAACATAGCGCGCATGTACGTGGCGGGCTCAACATTGCAGATCTGATATAACCCTAAAATTCGTTTGGACGAGTTAGTTCATTTTATACATTTGCCATGTCCGAGTTAGCACTTCTAATTAAACAACGCGGTAAATTAAAGGCGAAGCTTACGACTTTTGGTAATGTCATTTCTCGCACTGAATGCTTGCCGGAACATAATCAAGAATTATCCTCGCAAATAGAGAATGCAGAAGGCCTCTTAGCAGACTTTGAAATAATTCAAAATAAAATTGAAGATATAGATAATACGGAAGTGCAGGCTGAAGAACGCCGGAATTTGAGAACAAATACTATAAATTAATATCAACGGCGCGTAAATCACTAATAAATGAGCAAGCTCCTCCAATACAAGATTACCCGCAAGCTCCTTCGATGCAAGCTTATCCAATGCCCGCGCCACCCAACCTCGGTAACCAGCAATTCGTTTTTAGGCCTGCGGTAAAACTTCCAACTATCGAACTACTCAAGTTTGACGGAAATTATGAAAAATGGATACCATTTAAAGATTTATTCGAGTCACTCATCGCGTCGAATGTTAGCATTCCAGCCGTTCAAAAATTGCATTATCTGAGATCAGCATTGACGGGCGAAGCCGCAAAAGTAATAACTACATTAGAAATTACGAGCGATAATTACAAAGTTGCGTGGAATTCGTTAAAACAACGGTTTGAGAATAAAAAGTTAATTATTCATCATCTTATACAAACATTGTTGGAATTGCCACCCATTGTTAAAGAGTCGCATGCTGATCTCAGACAATTAGCAGATAATGTATCTCAAATAACTCAAAACCTTGCGAAATTGGGTCAACCAATAGAACATTTTTCCATATGGGTTATCCATATTATGTTGCCCAAAATTGATAGAGGATCTCGTAGGGAGTGGGAATTTAAAAGATCTGATGTGGAAGAATTTCCAGCATTAGACGAATTTTTAAAATTTCTTATAAGCCGTAGTGCGGGTTTGGAAGCAGTATCGCATGCGAGTCGACCAACCCAGTCTTCTATTGATAATCGTAATAACAGTAAAGCCACTCAAGATCGAAATAAAAATATCTCGCGCTCGTATGTCGCTTCCAATAGCTTCGCGTGTTCTCTATGTTCAAATGAGCATAAAACTCAAGAATGTAACTTGTTTCTTAATATGTCGGTAGATGATAGAAATTCAGAAATTAGAAAGAAACGGTTATGCATAAAATGTCTCAAGCAATATCACGGTAAAAATTGCAAGGCGTCCAATTGCCAAGTATGTAAGGGTTATCACAACACGTTATTACACAGAGCTAAATCTTCAGTGGCTGAAGCAGACAACAAAGAGGCAAAATCGCCACAGGGTCAACCTCAAGCGACGATTTCGGATATCAGCAACGCAAGGCAACATTCTACGACAGCCTTGAGTGCGGATTTATCATCCACCACGCTGAATCACTGCAGCATCAAGAGCCCTTCACAAGTTCTGCTTTCCACAGCAATTTTATTCATACAAGATGCGCAAGGAATAACGTATAAGTGTCGTGCCCTTCTCGATAGCGGATCATAATCCAATTTCATTACGCGGCGATTGAGCGACAAATTAAAACTACGATATAAAACTTTGGATAAAATTATCATGGGTATAAGTGGCACACCGATAAATATTACTCAACAAGTAAACGCCACAATTCAATCATGCACAAGCGCATATCAAACAAAACTTCTTTTTATAATCATAGATAAAATTTCTGGCCGTCTGCCTACATTCGAAGTAAATAAAAGTAGCCTAAACATCCCACCAAATCTGGAGTTAGCGGATCCGAGCTATCACCCAGACAGCACACGGATATCTTATGGACATCCATAAGGTGTCCTTGAAGGACATTGAGGATATCCGCAAGCTATCCGTTTTAGGTCCTTCGGACGTCCACTGGACGTCTATGGGATATCTGTTTATGAAATTGGTGGACGTCCACGGAATATCTGTTTATAAAATTGGTGGACTAAGAATCTCTGACGTGTCCATAGGATATAAA